GGAGGGGGGCAGCGCGCCCCCTGGCGGCCCCGCGGAGGTCGCCCCGCCGCCGGCCGCGGGAGGAGGGAAACTTCGAGCCCAGCTCAGCGCAAGATGCGCGGGGCGGGTTCAGCCGCCCGTGGGAGCCGGCTGGCGTGGGGCCTGCCTTCGGGAGCGGGCTTGTTCCCCCGCCGCAGTGTCCACCGCTACAGCGCGAACGGCTAACCGAAACAACGTCGACCTCTTCCTAAACGTGATAGCGAGACGCTATGAACCAGAAAGCACCACCTCATCTACATATGCCATCAGGCCTTTGGGTGCCTATTGCACCTATAAACGAGCACTATTTATATGCACAAGTAACCGTACAGCACGTGTGTTACATGTAGGTATTACCATCTTACTTAAAACAATAAACAGGTAGGATGTTTGCAGATACATAACCCCCCGATGTTCCTAACACAGAGTTTAGAACAGCGTTTGACTTTCAATCATTTCTTTAAACGACAGAAAAGTTTTACTAATAAATTATCACCTATCTACCCTACCTGTGCTAGAGTTTCAGGCCACTGTCATCTGCAAGGGTATTTTAAGCAAAGGTGAAGATATATTTAGAATCTGGGTTTTGGGCAAACGCTTTAACAGAGAGAGGATTTCGGCACAAAGCATTCCCTTGCAAATATGAGTAAGATTCTTCTTAAAAGTCTGGCTGGAAAATCCTTGTAGCCAATACTTCGACGACACAATGCTTCTGACACACTTCAGTTACCTTCGTTCCTCTAGGATTCCCTTATTTTCCAATAAAAACATACCTCTCTAACCAATCATCTCCGACTAAGTTCATTACACGAAGAAAAAATATTCGGTAAAACAGATACAACCTCAACTCGCCTTGAAAGAGAAAACCCTCGGTAAGTAACAGCCTAACCATTAACAGTGCCGGAGCTTACCTCTTCAACTGTCAAAGGCATACAGATCCGGTACTCCTTCATGAGCATATTCCCGCTGCCTCAGTGCGGACCAGCAAACTGGGAGAAAAGTGGTTATTTCTGCACGACGATCACGACGAAAACCAATCGCGGGAAAAAAATAATCAAGCCTCTTTCTCTGTACGCTCTTGACAGTGTGTCCACGGGAGAGTAATGCGACCATCCAGGAGGGCTGACCCGGCAAGAAGAAAAACCAACACAACTCCTCCTTTCTTCCAGTTCTTCCTCCTTCAGCCTCCGATCATGGGAATTTCACACACGCTCGCACCGGTATACGCTACCGAGTCTCAAGCCCCAAACGCTGACGGTACGGCCACAGACATCCGTCGGAAGTCTACGAAAACGGCAGGCTCTCGCAGCTATGTCAAGACATGCCTGGGGCGGCGAAAAGAACAAATGAGCCGAAAACGTGGCTTCCACCGCCGCCGGCAGCACGTCGGGCGGCAGGGAAGATGCGATGCTGATTTCCAAGACAAAGCCTTTTTATAACGTTTCCTTCCCCGCCTGCCAAACACGGCTCCCACCTCCCCACCGCAACGCGGC